AAGAAAAAAGTACTGAGGGACAATTTCACAAGTTAATTGCCATGTTTCTTTTTGTAATATGTAATTTTCAAAATTAACTACTCCAAGATAATTGGAGACAACGTGTGACTTTTAGTTGATAGTGCAGCAATGTTGGTCTTTTACTTTAGGTCAGAAGTGAGGTTTTGAAACAAGTGTTCATTGTTTCTACTTACTGTGCTTTGGTTCACATTACAGAATAATGGGCCATGCTAATCGACATGGGTACAGACTCAGTCAGCTCCACCCAGCCATGTTCTTCTATCCAAAAAGAATGCAGCCACCCAGACCACAGCAGGACTGACCAAGACAATAAAAGTCTGTGCTGGCCCTGAGGAGAGTTCTTGGCCCTGCCCTCAGGCAGAGCTTTGAGGGCCAAAGCAGGCTCTAAAAGTCATGGCAAAATGCCAAATGTGTTCTCAGTCCTGAGCAAGCTGGGGGCTCATATACAAGGCAAGAAAGCATTGCATGAACCATCTTCGCCCACCCGCCCCCCAGTTTTTACTGTTTTCAACACTTCAGGTTATCCATTCCACCATTCTTGCAGTTGTCCTAATTAGGAAGCCCACATCTTGTTCCTTGCTTGAATGTTTGAAGAGAATAGAAGTTACATCCAGTAATGGCACTGATTCAGTTACTCACTGTCTTTATCTCCGAAATGCTCGATCCTGATAAAAAGCAGCCTCTCTCTGAGCATCACAGGCCAAGTCTGCTTGCTTTTCCTGCTCTTTTCTTGCCTGCTTTTCAGCCTGATGAAGAAAACGGAATAGCAAAGCTTAGTATTTTGTTTTCAACATCACCATCCTGTAAAGCCAAGAGAGGGTAAAAGCTTACAGAGGGTTTATGGCATCCTTAGCTGAAACTTGGCACCTGTCATCCCTCCCCACTTCTCTCCCCTGCCTTATCTCCCCAGAAAGGGTACATGAAATAGCTGAGTGAACATCAGCATTAGCTGCTGCTCTTTGGTGACCTGTCCAGAAGATGCAAGAGGACAGCAGTGCCTAGTTGAAAAAATGTCATAAAAGCACAGGACAGGATGTGACTGGCCCTTATTGATCTCTTATTACCAGCCCTCACAGAAATCCTCCCTGACCCACATGGGCCAAGTCCACCTGGAAGAGGCTTCTGTTCTACTGCTCTAAGAGGAGGCCCATAAACCTCTGAAATGTGTGTTGTGCATTGTCAAGTTTTCAGCAGTAACCTTCTCATTCCACAAAAGATGTACATCACACCCACAGCAACCTTTCTCTCTTTCTCTCTCTCTCTGTCTCTCTCCCTCCCCGCTCTCGTCTCTTCTGCCCAAGAGGTCTAGGACTATGGATTTGTAAGTGTGCTTCTCTCTGAAGGGGCTGACAGTATACAGTTCTTCTGTTCACCATTTGCTGGAGCTGAAACTTCTGTACTTCCATGTTTGCATCACGCTGTCTTTGTTTCTTGGCTTTTTCCATTTCCAAGTAGACGTCATTTTCTGTCATCCACTGATTACGATCCTTCTTATCCTCTTCTTTTTCCTCTCTCTTCTTTTCCTCTTTCAAATTCATCTGTAGTTTACAAAACACACAAAAGTTAAGCAAGGAGCTGGCCTGCTAAGCTGGAAGTTGTATCTCTCTGCAGAAGCAGCCCTGAGTCATTATCACTCTGGTAAGCAGGGTCACTGTGGCTGGCCGGTGTCCAAGCCCAGCGCTTTCTGCAGCCCTGGCAGAGTGCACCCAACCCAGAGGGGAGAAAGGGAGAGGGGCTCCAGGAAAGGCACCAGATGCATGGCACTCTGATGCATGGCACCAGAGTCACCAGCTGTGGCCTAGGCCAGGCTCCTCAGCTGGGATAAGCAGTGCAGAGTTTGCACAAATTACAAACAGTTAGAGAGCCTTCCCCATCTAATTTTTTTGAAGTGAGGATCACCATATATGCTGCTTGCACCTTGCTTAAGGATTTAGTTCTAAAACTCTAGATGATGAATGAAAAGCATCTGGTGAAAACCTGCATGTGTGTCTCACTCCAGATGACTGTGCTAGAAACTGGCATTTCCAAACCCTATTCCTATATACAAGTATATGACAGAAAGAGGAACAAGGACAGCCCCCGTTTCTTACCACAGTGACTCTGTTTTCTTCAATGGATTCCAGAGCAGCCTTTTTTTTCGTTTCTTTCTCTTTAGTTTTTATTTGGTACTCAACTTCTACCTCTGCAGCTCCTCTAGCAAGACGATCATCTTCAATCTTAAATTTCTCATTCATCTGTGCATTTAATTTTTCAAAAGCTTTGTCCTTTTGCTTCTCTATCATCCTGCAGGAGAACATGACCTACTGTAACATCCCAGGACATCTGCTCAGATTACCAGAGGCAATTGGTACCTGTTGCTTCTAGTAACACCAGCAATCCCACCTCCACCCCAACAGCACCATTTACTGCTGGAACTGGTAGGCATTTTTTCTGCACCTTCTACTCCAAGTTTTAATTACAGAAAACTTGCATCAAAGTTTTGATCTTGCTGATATAACAACTGAGAATACTGTTTGTCACAAAATGAAATTGCAAGTTTGAATCTTAACACTGAAAATTATCCCTGGACCCACCTGTTTGTCTCTGCACTTTTTTCTCTTGTCAGATCAGCCATCATTTCTTTTCCTTTAATATAAGCCTTAATCTGATCATCATCTTTGTCTTCTTTTTGTTTGTCTTCAGCTTTCAATATTTTCTGTTCAGCTACATATTCCTGTTGAAATGGAAAACTACGTTTATTTTCACATAGATCCAGATTTTAGAAACATGAACTAAAACAGATCCTAGCAAATACTTTAGGCTAGCCAGTAATAAGGAGTTCTTTACATCAGTGAAGAAGCTACAGAAGATAGAAACCCAGAGATAAAAGAATTTTTATTATCTACTTATCACAAACCACAGCAAAAGTAAAATTAGTATGTGGTTGCGGCTCCAGGATTATAGCATCTTTATATTCTCTCCTCTACATTCCCAGTGGCTCCAACTGTACTGTTCCCATCCTGTGTATCATTCATATGGTGCAGACTCTGAAGGGCTTGAACAATAAGTCTGTAGACCATCAAAATAAGGCATTTTGTAATGACTTAGAAACGGCTCTTGTACAGCTTGGCAGTATGTGTGGCTTTTGTTGCACGTACAAGGTTGGGGGGAAATTTGTGTACCAGGGAAGAGGAGTATGGAAGGAAAAAAAGCAACTAGGGTTTTAGCAGGAATTCTCTCCTTTTACTCCCTCACATGGTAATGAATCATCACAGTACCTCTACTTCAGTTTCCCTGCTCAAGCAGGTATTGGCAGGGAAAAGTATGTGTGGTAAGTAGGTCATCACCAAGTTTATAAGGTATTGTCATACTCAGGCTATTCCCTCTCCCTAACAAAGAGCAAGTACATGGAACCTAAATCCAGTTCTCAAGTCAAGGACAATCTCCTTGCTGACTCTAGCAGACTTCTCCATTGTAAACCAGTCAAAGCTCAGGTGCCACATTAAAACTTCCAAGAGGTCTTTCTCAAAAGCACAGAGGAAGGACATGGCCTGCAACTGGCAGGGTAGGCATTTGATCCCAGGCTACTAAAGCTGTCTGCAAAGACCCTGTTACCCATAATCCTATTTATTTGTGGGCTGAGTCCAACCATCACAGTCAAGGTGAAATACATATTTTGAACTGTCTGCTTTCCTGCTACTTACATGATGCTGCCTCTGGAATTCAACTTTTTTCTCCTGATCCTTTTCTTTATCTCTCTGAATTTCCAGTTGGTACAACTGGCTTGATCGCTGTATTCGTTCCCCTTCTTGTCTCTTTTCCAGCTTAGCCAGATCTGCTTGATCCTTGTGCTCCTTTATTCTGAATCAGAAAAGGGAAGTGAATAAATGAGCTAGAAACAGCATGAAGTGATAATGAACAGACATAGATTACGCACATCTATGAGTACTTAACAGTAAAAAACCCTGATACTTTGAAGTAAAATACCAGCGATCAAAACCAATAAGTTTCTATAAGCTAGCACCAAATTCTTTGGCCAAAGCTCAGTTCCAGTCTGAAGGCACCAGGGAAGTCTATACCAGCAAAAGTGAGCATGAACAGTCTATGGACTGAAATGTTAGATTGGATTTGATTTGCCTGTTTCATTGTTATCCCACTCCCTGTACAACCTCGGCCTCTTCCAGCAAGCAGTCTTGTAAGCTGTGCCACAGCACCGTGCAAGACATGGCCGTGATGCCCGTGCCAGCTGGAAGGGTGAAGGCTTCTGGTAGGGAGAGGCAGCAATAGTGAGACAAACCACTTGCTCTCGGCGCCAGAATTGAACCTGTCTTGTTGGATGTGTTGGGACAGACATAACCCCCTGACAGCAAGAGACGTTTCCGAAGCTGGAGAACAGAATTACACAGGGTGGGGAAAGGTCCATCTGACCGCGAGGTGAGGATGATCTAAAACCCTCGCTCAAAAGCAGTGAGTCACGGAGCCCCGGGCGCGGAACTCGGGTCAGCGCCCAAGAGCCGCCCCTTTCGGCGGGCTCTGCAGCCGGGGCCCGCCCGGGCCGGGCTTCCCACGGTGAAGTTTTTAACGCGAACCCTCTGGCCCCGCTCCCGGCCCCGCCGCCGGACTCACTGCGCCAGCTGCTCCTGGGCCACGGCCCGGCGGCTCAGGTAGCGGCCGCGCTCCACCTCCGCCTCCCGCCGAATAGCGTCCGGCCCATCGCGGTCCATCGTCGGCCTTCTTCGTCGCCTCTGTGCAGACGGAAGGAGAAGCAGGGATCCTCACCGACGGCTCTGCTTCCCGGGAAATGGGGGCTCCTTCTCCCGCCCCCAAAGGCGGTGGCCACAGGAACGCTCCGGCGCCGAAGCGGGAATGGCACCCGAGTGGGCGGCGGGCGCTGTGTCGTGAGAGATGAGCGGCGCCGCGCCCAGCCCCGCCCCGGGAGCCGCGGGCGGGCGGCGTCCGCTCCGTCACACGGAGGGAGGGGAGGGAGCAGCCATCCCCCGGCCCCGGAGGCCGGCCCATCCTCCGAAGCCGGTTCCTGCACATCTCGTTTCCCTGCGGAACGTCCGTGCCCGGTAAGAGGCTGAAATGGCCCCTCCGCCTCTGTCCTGCTGCTCCAGCCGCGGTGCGCTCCCGCCGGTTCGCCGGGGCCGTGGCGCTCGGCCGGGCTCCGTGCGCTGCCGCGCCTCGCTGGAACCATCGCCCCGCCAGGCCTGCCTGTTGCCGGGGCCCAGAGCCCTTGGCGGCCCTGGGAGCGGGATGAGGAGGTCGGGCCTCCTTCTCCTTCCAGGAATTCATCCCTTGCCTTGCCTGGAAGAGACACCTCGGGGAGGTGGCTGCACCCGGGAAGGACAGCGCCCACCTTACACCCAGCGTTTGTACAGTGCAGGGGAGGCAAAGCCGCTTCTCCTTGGCCCTCGGCTTGCTAGAGGTACCCTGCCTCCGGGGTGGCCTCACATCTTCCTCGAAGCCCTGTGCTTCCTCCAAGGCCTGGCTGCTTTCGGCAGCTAAGCCAAGGAACTTGAGGAAACACCTAAGACCCACTTTCAAACCTAAAATATTGGCAAGCGTCCTTTTCTTTATTTAAAGACTTGTATTATTTTCTGGTCTGGCCAGCAGAGACTGGCAGCTGTGGGGTGCAACAAAGCAAAGCTTCAGGTTTCTGGGACTGTGCTTGCAGCGGACACCAGGATAGAGGGAGACCCTGTTTAAACCCAGGTGCTGCTGGAGGAAGTCATTACAGGAACCCCTAACTTCCAAGGCAAGGGGATGAAAGGAACCTTAGCTTAAGGAAGGAAAAGTCTCTGTGGCTTGGGTGTTGGTGAGTAAATCTGCTGAGGAATCTGAGATACAATTTTAGATCACACCTATTTGCAGAGTGAAATGCTGATAGTCTTTTTGAAGCCCAACTATGCTGTCTCTTGATGTGCTGATTTTGTAGGCCCTATTTACAGCTGTATTGGGACCTATCTGCCTCTTTGGTGACTTTTAAGGGCTGGGATCAAATTACATTAATATTTTCATGTAATAAAACTGATTTATAGCATGACATTTTTCAGACATAGTTGCAAAATACTACCAAAACTGCACACCCTAACTGTTCAAAGTCTCACATATGTTCTCTTTTTTTTGTCCCCTGTAGTTATAGCCTGGGACAGTGAATTTTTAGAACAATGAATATTAAAAATATAACAGAAGTAATGAGCTTTTGGCTGGAATGGGTTACAGTGAGAGTCAGTTATATAATATGAATTCCTGTCTCAAGTTTAATAAACTAACATTCATGAAATACAGGCTGGGGATGTTTGAATATAACCAGTTATACGGCAATCTTTTATTTTTTCAAATGGAAGTCCAGATTCATGGAATATATTTGACATCAATAATTTACAGTTTAACTGTGCCTGTATGGTTGAAAAATTTATTTAACTTGAAAATGGCTTCTGCCTTTCCTTGGTGGACAGTTTAAGAATTATTTCATATTTTTGTTTATTGAGCAGCACTACAGCTACAACAAGGTAACTGGGTCCCAACATATGTTGGGAAACTAGTATTTATTTCTTCTTCTCTCAGAAAAATGGCCTATGTCCAAGTCCTCTTCCATCTTCACATGCTTTGAGAAGAGGATAAAGATGATGTGTTGTCTTAGATTCTGTTTCTATTAATTCCTTTGCATATTTCTGAAACTCTTGCTCTTTATAAAGTGCAATAGCCTCTCTCTGAGCATTGTAGTCCAATTCTGCTTGCTTTTCCTGCTCTTTTCTTGCCTGCTTTTCAGCCTGATGAAGAAAAGGAAATAACAAAGCTTAGTATTTTGTTTTCAACATCACCATCCTGTAAAGCTGAGAGAGGGTAAAAGCTTACAGAGGGTTTATGGCATCCTTAGCTGAAACTTGGCACCTATCATCCCTCCCCACTTCTCTCCCCTGCCTTATCTCCCCAGAAAGGGTACATGAAATAGCTGAGTGAACATCAGCATTAGCTGCTGCTCTTTGGTGACCTGTCCAGAAGATGCAAGAGGACACCAGTGCATGGTTAAAAAAAAGTTATAATGGCACAGGACAGGACGTGATCTGTCCTTGCAAACCGGCCTTGGTTTGCACCAGTGCTCTGGGGAAGCTGGTCTCCAACACCAGGTTATGCCAAACACACATGATTAAAAATAACCCAACAAACAATAAAATCCAAACAAAACACCTAACTTCCTCTTTCTCTCAGCAGGAACTAGTGTATTGGTTTAGGTGCAAGCTTCTTTCTGAAGAGATTGACAGGGCACAACTTTCTACTTACTATTTGCTGGAGCTGAATTTTCTGTACTTCTCTGTTTGCCTCATCTCGTCCATGTTTTTTGTTGTTTTCCAGTTCCAGGTGGATGCGATCTTTTTCCATTAACATATCACGTTCTTTTTCAGCCTCTTCTTTCTCCTGTCTCTCCTTTTCCTCTTTCAACTTTATCTGTAGTTTACAAAACACACAAAGTTAAGCAAGGAGCTGGCCTGCTAAGCTGGAAGTTGTATCTCTCTGCAGAAGCAGCCCTGAGTCATTATCACTCTGGTAAGCAGGGTCACTGTGGCTGGCCGGTGTCCAAGCCCAGCGCTTTCTGCAGCCCTGGCAGAGTGCACCCAACCCAGAGGGGAGAAAGGGAGAGGGGCTCCAGGAAAGGTGTCAGCAGGCTTGCTGAAGCCTGCTGATGCATGGCACCAGAGTCACCAGCTGTGGCCTGGGCCAGGCTCCTCAGCTGGGGTAAGCAGAAGTAAGATCAGTTTCTTACCACAGTGGCTCTGTGTTCAGCAATAGATTCAATAGCAGCCTTTTGTTTTGCTTCTTTCTCTTTGTGTTTTTTTTCTTCTTCAGCTTCTTTTCTTGCAACATCTCTAGCCAATCGATCATCTTCCTTCTTTAATGCCTCACCCATTTGTTCAGCTAATCGACTAATGATTTTGTCCTGTTGTTCCTGTACTTGTCTGCAGAAGAACATGAGCTTCCATAACGTACCAGGGCAACACACCTGGGTCTACCTGAAGCTACCAAACTCAGCAGTTCTAGTTCTAGAGTTCTCTCCTCTTGACCACCCAGGCTGGCCCACCCACCCAACTCATGATCTCCTTCTGTTCCTTCTGTTTGGTTTATTTTTATATTATCTGATTTAGAAAGTAAATGTTCCCAGTGTTCTTGTATCACTAGTTTCTCTTGCAATAATGAGCTGGATCACTCGGGAACGATTCCAGCATGCATCTTGCCATCAGAAAGGGAATGTTGGTTAGAAGCAGGAAGGGAAGAAAACTCTTTGATTGACTCAGTGGTATCATCACATTGTACCCTTAATGTTAAACTGATAAAATATCTCCCCTTAAGAACATGACGTAGTTAATTAATGTTTGTGCCTTGCTGAGAAGTCAAATCATTTTTCTTGAGCTGACTCAGAGAAATATAGCTTATACTCAAAAATATTTTCATCAAGGATCTTAATTGTCTTTAATTATTGAGGAGGTAAAGATTTGGCAGGCTACATGGAAAATCTCTCTTCTCAATACACTGGTGCAAAGCTTTGCACTTTCATAAGCCTCTGTACTTTAAAAGGTGGAGAGGTTGCTCCCTCACACTTACTACAAGGAACCTGTGAAAAAAATTTCCTTTTTCTCTTGAATTCCCTGCTCTCCCTATCAGTAGAATTTACAGTAATGTGTTAGAATAACTGTTTCTTGTGTTATATCATTAGTCTAAATGATCTGAAAACAACTACAGTACAATTTTTAGATCATTTATGATTTATACTCTAGCATTGCACCTACCTACGCATTTCAGCTTCTTTCTTTTTTCTCATCTTGGCAATAATTTCCTTTGCTTTAAAATGGGCTTTGATCCGATCATCTTCTTCCATTTGGTTTTGTTCCTCTATTGCTTTGATTATTTTCTGGTCATTTACATACGCCTGTATGGGCAAAACGGTCCTGATGTAACAGAGGATGTTTAGAATATCTGGACCTGGGGTAGCAGCTTACAGGAATCACTCCCTGTTCCCCCTCCTTAAGTTTCTTTCAAAAACAGAAGAGAGAAAGGGGATCCTCAGGAAAGGAGAGAGAAGACAAGAAAGGGATACATCCACTTCTGCCTCCCTATTCAAACATGCATCAAGATGAGACAGCAGACGTGAGGGTGGGGAACTGGAATTGAGCATCAAACAGCTCCTTTTCTGGAGCATCGCACCAACAAATTGTTGAGTGATGGAGAGAGCATTGTCCCTGCTCCCAGTGACACACATGGGCCAGGGCGATGGTCCAACACCACCCACACAAGTTCATTCTGCTCCTGGCCCCACCTCATCTGAAACTACCCCTAAGAGCTTAATCCAAAACACAATGGAAGAGCAGTTTTCTGTACTTTTATGTAAAAAACCAACTGTCTTTTGCATGCTGGCCAGAACTGCTCTGAGGCACTTCTTGTTTGTACCTTAGCAGCGTGCCTTTAAAGGTTAAATGAGATGGCAGCAAGTCTTGACTAAATCCCAAAACTTCTGCAATCATAAAGTCAAATTAAAAAGATACATTCAGTCCCTGTCTATTCCGTCTTTCTAACAAAGAAAAATGGGCTTAAAACAGCAGGAATGTGAACTTAAATCCAGTTCTCAAGTCAAGGAGATATTCCTTGATGTCTACAGCCAAAGACCATAGACCAGTCAAAGCATCAAGTGCCAACATCCCTTCAGACAAGAGAGGGGAGGGGCCTTCAAAAGGTCTTTCTCAAAAGCTCAGAGGAAGGACATGGCCTGCAACTGGCAGGGTAGGCATTTGATCCCAGGCTGCTAAAGCTGTCTGCAAAGACCCCGTCGCCAGTAGATCCCTTTATTTGTGGGCTGAGTCCAGCCATCACAGCCCAGGTGAAATACACATTTTGAACTGTCTGCTTTCCTGCTACTTACATGATACAGCTTCTGCCGTTCAATTTTTTCCTCGTGTTCCTTTTCTTTTTTTCTCTGAGTTTCTAGTTGGTACAGTTGAATAGATCTTTGTATTTCTTCCTCTTCTTTTTTTTTTTCCTGCTTGGCCAGATCTGCCTGATGCTCACGCTCCTTTATTCTGAATCAGAAAAAGGTGAATAAATTGTCTAGGAACTGTATGAAGTAACAAACTGCATAACCGTAGGTACCTTGCAGTGAAGAATGTGATACTTTGAGTTGAAGGTAGGTAGAATATCAGAGGTGAATAACAGCATGATTGTTTGTAATGGTAGCCCTGATCAGAAATGAGCTACCTGATATGCTCACAGTTTGCAGTCTCGTGGTGATAAGTTTTAGCTGGATGACTCATTAGCACCACTGCATTGCTAATGCTCTGGCCTGTATCTGCAGCACCCTTGGAGAACAAGATTTCCCCAGTATGATCCACCATAGCTGTGTCCCTTCTGGGCATGCAGGCAGCAGCTTAAACTGGTAATGTTCTATACTAAGTTCTGCAAGAATCTATGTGTTGCACCTGGAATATGTAAGACCCGACTTTGAACCCTTCCTCTGCCTTGAGACATTTGATTCCTTCTATCAGACCACCAGGGCCAGTCCTGTAAATACCACTGGGGACCTCTCCATAAGATTTACAGAAAACCTGAGAGAAGGAATAGAAGTGACAGTAATGCCTTCTCTTGTTGTGCAGTCTGGAAGCTCATAATGGATAAATGGAAAATCTAATTTAACATTTTCCTTGTCTGGAACAAAAACTGAGTAAAGTACACTTAAATTTCATTAACAACATTTGAACAGTGATTTGACTAAAGCCTGCTGATGCTTCCCAGAGGCAATTTTGCCTACAGACTGTTGGCAACTAAAAATGCAGATAGCTTTTCCCTTTCGGGCGAGATCTTCTGTGATCTTCTTTAAAAAGAATGCCATTTGTGAAAAAAATTATTAGCAAGTTTCTGTAAAAGCCTCATAGAATGTATTTTGAGAAGAGTTTAAGTAAATAATGAAGTAGGGTTGCTTTTAATTATTACTTACTGTTGTAACTGATCTTTGCATAGTGCCTGTTTATTCATATAACGCTGATGTGCTTTTTCTTGCTCACTGAGAATGTATTCTTTTAATTGACGTTGCTCTTCTTCAAACTCCCTCTTTTTGTTATCAAGTAATCTTGACTTTAGAAATTCAACTTGAGCATCTCTTTCTTTTAGGACCTTAGTAAGTAGAAGTGCACTCTGCAAGAGAACATTTAAAGTAATTTTTATGCTCAGAAGTCTTTAGAGACATTCAGTACAATTTCAGTGTAAAATATGTAAGTTGTCAACAAACATGGAAATGTCTCATTCTGTCGTCCTGATAACGTAGGTAGGTTTTTGCACGATCAATAACCTCCTTCCGTTTTGCTGCCTGGAACTTTGCTTCTTCCAAATCAAGTAACTTTCTTTCTTCCTCTTCCTTTTCTTCACGTAATTTTTTGGCTTGAAGTTTCTGTTGTATCAGGCTCTACAGTGCAGACAAAATTAAAAATCACACTTAAATTTTGGATTGTTTTTTTACTTTGCATTTTAACTTTAAGTAAAAAAATACCAATGTTTCAGTTAGATGTTAAATATATTTAAATGGTATTTAGCTGAAACACATATTCAAAAGCAAATGTTAAACAAAGGGAGTATAACTAGAAATGTTACTATGTGTGGTTTTGTATATACAAAAGTGACTACCCTTGTTTCCAAATGTATCTTGTACTTACCAAAGTGGCACTGCGTGGATCTTCTTTTCCAGCAGCTTTGGAGTCCAAGTGCACCTCTTCCTGTTCTTTCTTCTCATCAATGTGTGGTGCTTGTCTAATCCTGTCCTGAATCCTTTCCCATTGTGCTTTTGACAATACAGTGACCTGACGAAGATCTGTTTCATTTGGAAGGAAAAACTCATCTAGAACATCCTTTTCTTTCCAGTGATGTGCTGTGCAGAGGGAAGATAAAATACAAAGGTTACTCGATCCCAGAAAATCCAATAATCAAACATGTATCAGGATTTGAATGCGGGCATGGTAGCAATACTAAGTTATCCTTAGTGTTTCTTAGTCCCCCATGCCAAACCCCAGAGCTAAGACAGGGTATCTGTATCTGTAGTGTGCCTGTGCCCAGTGCACGGACTTGGATGGGCACTGACTGCCTGCACTGTTTGTACGTGCCCTTGCCTGTTTGTGTGTTTGTGTGGGGCTGGCCTGTAGTAACACACTTCCAGGCAGTACTTGGGCATGATTCTTAGAACAGCAGGGAGCAGAAACCATTCCCAAAATGAAAAAGAGAATTGGTAGAGCCATTCTGCTTCCTACATAAGGCAGCAATTTGGGCACAGACTGTGCCTTCTTACCATGTCCTGCATACTCATCATGTTTACTGAAATAGTTCTGTTGTAGAACAGTTTTTGATTTGTTGGCAAGACTAGGATTTCTTAGTTGCAGTAGGCTCACATACGCTCACAGGCATAAATGCAGCTTTTCTAGTTGATGTCTAGGTTTTGTGAAATGCTCTTTCAAGTGTCACCACCATTTTTGAAGGGAGTGCCACTGTACAGAACGGTGTTCTGTATTAATTGTGTGGTTTGCAGCAGACTGACAGCCCAAGTCTGAAAGGTAAGGAGGCTTTCCCTTAGGGTGACACCGGTGTCAAAGTCTGTTTTCCAGACGCCGTTGCTGACCAGTCTCCCGACAGGGGTCAGACCTGATGCTCTCCCTCTCTCCTAGGTGCAGACAGCCTCACCAGAAGTACAGGCGCACTGATGCGGCTGCGCCCTGCAGGCAGCAATCTGCCAAGCCCCTCGTTCTTGCCCAGCTGCTGCCCCTGGAGGCGCTACACCTGCGCTGCCTTCAGGTCAGTTCTCCGTTCCTAGGGAGAAACAGCCGCTCTTGCCGTCTGCAGCTGGGGGAGCTCTGGGGAGAGTCACGCTGAGCGCCCCTACAGCCTCCCGGAGCCTTGCGGCCGCGGGCTCGGCACCGCCCTCCCGCCGGCTCCGCTGTCCGCGGGGCAACCCCGGGCCGTGCCGCTTCCCCTCACGGCCGGGCCCCGGGCGCTGCCCCTTCCCCTGACGGGCCGGGCCCCGGGCGCTGCCCCTTCCCCTGGCGGGCCGGGCCCCGGGCGCTTCCCCTTCCCCTGGCGGGCCGGGCCGCTTCCTCCCCGCCGCCGAGGCTGTGCCGCTGCGGCAGGCTGCGGGCCCGGAGCAGGGCCCACCCGCCCAGGAGGGGTCGGCAGGTTCAGCTCCGCTAACGGCTGCGTTTCGTTTCTTTGGCTTCTTGGATTTTGTGCGGCCTCGGTGAAGGCACTGGCTCCATCTGATCGGTGAACGTTTCCTTTCAAAATATCTATTGAGGCGTTTTGCCATGAGAATTCCAGAATTTGCATTGATAAATGCTGGTGGAGAAATTAGTATCTGCTCAAACGTATGGCATATGGATACAAGAACATTGATGCTGTGTTAGCAAGTATTAGTAACATTAGCAGCATGAGTTAGATACTGTTGCATATTTTAAACAGAAGTTGGACACTGAACTTTGACATTTATGAGTTGCACTTTTAGCTACAGCGCAACTTCCCATCATGGTAGTGGCCATAAATAGTTTATTTTGTTCCGATGTTTTCTTCCAGAATTTTTCTCTTCTGAGCACAGGGTCAGGGTAGGAATATAGTACTTCTGTTTATATAAATAATTTTCTTATTTGTTTATTTTGGAAACTATTTTCTCACAGCTATGAAATTTCTGTTGGTTTTTGATTTTGACCATACAATCATAGATGAAAATAGTGACACCTGGATTGTGAAATGTGCTCCTGAAAGAAAACTTCCTAATGAATTAAGAAACTCTTACCAACCAGGACATTGGACAGAATATATGGGCAGAGTCTTTGTCTACTTGGGAGACAATGGTGTCAAAGAAGATGAGATGAAAAGAACTATGACAACAATTCCTTTCACTGCGGGAATGATAGATCTTCTGGGATTTATTGGCAAGAACAAGGAGTTGTTTGATTGTATAATTGTTTCAGATTCTAATACAGTATTTATTGACTGGATTTTGAAAGCTGCTGACTTCCATCAAGTGTTTGATGAAGTGTTTACAAACCCTGCAGCATTCAGCAGTACTGGCTATCTTACTGTACAGCACTTCCATGCTCACCATTGTGCAAAGTGCCCTAAAAACCTTTGCAAAAGCAAAGTTTTAAAAGAATTTCTAGATAAACAGTTGGAGCGAGGAGTGAGTTATACACAAATTATATATATAGGTGATGGTGGGAATGACTTATGTCCAGTAATGTTTTTGAAGAAGAATGATATTGCTATGCCCAGGCAGGGGTATACCTTGGAGAAAAGGATTTCTCAACTGGCCCAAAGTCTCAGTCCTGTACAGTGTTCTGTTCTGGTTTGGTCATCTGCAATTGACATTATGTCTTACCTGAAACTACTTATAAAGGAATGATTCTAATGATAAAAGGAAACTGATAAACTTCCATTTTAACTTATTGGGAGAGAAAAACTACATGTGTATAAAAGTTCAGCATTGTAAAATTGGGCTATTATCTGAAATTATGGAGCTTTTAACCCCAAACAGAAAACTGTTTATGTTCAATCCTGGTGACAACGCGAAAGTGCAGTAAAAAGCCTTCTAACACAGTACGGACTCCAACATAAGTGGAAAAGGGGCATTGGGACAGGACTTGGCATTAGTTTTTGGCTACTCCCTTCCCTCCAACCCTCTACAAGTATATAGCTGATATATACTTGCAATCCCACACACTTAGGGGAAGGAGGAGGATTCCTGTTCAAAATAATGAAATTCTTTATTAGAAAACATTAGGTGCCAGGAGCATGGTTCTAGAGCTGTTGGCTTTTATACTTCTTTGATGTCAAATTATTTGCTTGTAATCTTGTTTAATCCAAAGATGCATTTATATTTTCAATTGATTATTTTACCAAACAAAATTACTTTTTAATACTTTGTATTATCTTGTATTGTAAAGACAATAAAAGTTGCTGTCACTGACAAATGCAACACAACTAATTTGTGTCATGTATTCTGCTGGTGTTTTATCAGGCCTGGAGAGAGCAGACACAAGTGTAGGTGTCAGCCTTTGGCTGGTCAGACCCTTTCTCTTCTGGAAAGCTGTAAGGATGTTGCTTTTTTGTTTAAAGAAAAGTCTCTCTCCCATTCTGCCTACAGAGCGTGCTGCTGCCTCTCTACAGAGCTGACACTGGTTTGATCTTCCATGCTGACAGCTCTGAGCCAGCCAGATGCCTTTCTTCCTCCTTGCTTGCTGCTGCAGTGCACAGGCTCACAGAATGGTACATACATTTACATTGTATACACTGATTTACCTAGTCATTCTCATTTTTATCTATAGCACAATCTTTTAGAGTCTGGCAGGAAGTGTCTATGTCCATTTTAACTTTTAAACAGATTGTTCTAAGTAGTTCTAAAGGATTGTTTGTGAGCATGCAGTCTTTCTCTTTATGACTGACAGTGAGATGAGCCCCAAGTATTGGACTGTGCATATAAAGGTATTAAAAGTAAGTCTCATTAAAGTTTAATAATGTGTTTTCATGCCAAATGTTTTTATTCTTATATATCAGAAAAGGTTCAAAATGCTGACGTAGTTTACTATTAAACTGAGATCATATTTAGCTTAAGTGCTTTAATAACTGAGAGATTAGGCCAACTTTCACAGTACCTCAGTTGCAGATGTCTGAGGAGTAGCTCAGCAGCCTGCAGTTGCCATATCTGTCTTCTTTTGTTTTCTGTGCAATGTTATTCTCATTTTCTTCTAGACATTTCATTATGTCAGTACCTGCTTTTTCATTAATTGAAGATTTTTGAGTGGTCTTGCCTGTTTTCAGGCTGCTGGTTTTCATAAATTTCCCTTGTGCACTTCTTTCCTTGTCTCCACCTATTTTACTGTATTGTGGAAGGTTCTTTGAACACTCTGCTGTCTAAGATGTCCAAAGTAATACACTTCAGTTCTCAGGAGCCTGGCTTTAGTGATGGATATTTGGTAAGCGTCTGAGATGTTCATATTTGGGATCTTGGCCTATTGTTTTACTGAAGGACACAAAGACACCTAAGGACTGGTGGGTCTCAGGCTGTGGCAGGTTTAAGTTTTCTGGTTTATAGGTCATACAAAAGAAAGGTAATGGCTGTTGCATAGGACAATTTCATATATTACTTCGGGTTTTAAGTTGTTGCCATCGTTTGAACCCAGCTGGCAGCTAAGTAGAGCAGCTTGTGCACTCCAATCCCCCACTCAGTGGGGAGGAGAACTGAGGAAAAAATTAAACCCTGTGAGTTGAGGTAAAAACAATTTAATAATTGAAACAAAATAAAATATCGCATTACTAAATTGATATAATTGTAATGAAAAGGAGAGAGAAAGGAATGAAGCTCAGGAGAAACAAGTGATGTATAATACAGTGCTCACCACCCACTGCTGGATGCCCAGCCCACCCCCGAGCAGCGATGGGCCCCTCCCAGCCAACTCCCCAGTTCCTGTGCTGAGTGTCCCCTCCCATGCTGGGGAATACCCCAGCTGTCCTGGCCATGCTGCCCCAGCTCCTTGTGCAGCTTCTCACTGACAGAGCATGGGAAACTGAAAAGTCCTTGAATATGGGTAAGCACCACTTAGCAACAACCAAAACAACAGTGTGTTATCAACATGATTCCCATAATAAATCCAAAACAGCACTAACCAGTGACTAAGAAGGAAGTTAACTCTATCCCAGCCAAAACCAGGACAGTTGGGTGTTTCCTTAATTCCAGATGTGATTCTGCTGAATATTCCAGATTCTGTGCTGGTCTCTTCTGTGTTTTTCAGAACTTAGTTATGGAATAGCTTGCTTTGAGTTTGTCCCCAGATCTTGGATACAGCTTGCTTAAAACCAACAAAAAGTAGTATATCAATGATTACTCAGCTTTTTCTTCCACTTACACAAAAGAACTATTGTTCTTTTAGCCTTAAGGGACCTACCTTGTAATTTGCTGTGAGAGTGAAATATTGGATGCGAAATTGTTCTTCACGCTCAAAAAAGGATTTTTCTGTGGCTTTGATTAAAGTGCTGAAGCAGGAGTTGAGAGTAGATTAAGCAGAGTACTTGAAATATTAGCAATTATGTTCTAATCACTTCAAATGGAGGGTAGTGCTGATGATATTTGCCAGACAAAGTGCATGTTGGAGACAGAATAAATTTTTCAATTCCAGTAGGCAGACCATTAGGCTATTAATCAGGTCTTGTTTGGGTTTTTTTTTCCCCACGTAATAAAAGTGAGAACTTCTCTGAAGCACAAAATTACCAAAATTTTCTGCGTTTGGTTACAATGGAGGGGAGATGAGTATCTCCAAAGAGTGAAGCTGGTTCAAGCTGGTAGCCCAACCAAAAGACAGGGAAAAGGGATGTGAAGGGGGATTCATGTTCAGTACTAAGTGTTGCTGACTTGCTCTCTGCAGGGGAGATGACTTAGGTAAAAATGTTATGAAAAAATGCATAAGGGAAGTCGTACCTGTATGGGAAACGTTCTGTATGGTAGCAGGGGTGCTGTCGTACACCATGACTGCGAGTACTTAGCCTTAGTATTGTGAGCTAGTGCAATAACCAACACTTCAAAGAAGTTCCTGCTTGTCCATAGGAAGCTGATGAAATGGAAAATGCAACCAAAACAAAGCTGTTGGCATGGGGATGTATGAAGGCTTAGGGCTGCACAAGAGAATTTTCTGGATGAAGAAATGGAGTCATGTAGCTGAGGGACAGGCCTGTGTCAGACAGCAGGGCTGTTGTAATTCCTGGGTTGCACTACAGAACTCCAGTTCTCTGGGCTGACAATGCATCGAGAGGGGTTTTAAAAAAGGAGGGCATAGATGTGTGTAGGTATGGGGAAATTTTGGTTTTGTGTGTTTTTCTTTTGGTTTGTTTGGATCATTTTATTTTTGTCTTATATTACTGTGTAAAGGCCAAGGGACACTTTGAATCCTGGTGCAGGGTTAGCAAGGGAGCAAGGATGGCAGGTATGACCATATACACTTTCCTGTTTGGATTTCCTTAGTTCATACTTCTGCTGGGCATTGTGACAGAAATACTACCAGTAATTAAAAGAAAAATATTATGCTTTTTCATCTGTGTTGAGTGGGAACTATCAAAATTTCTCCTTTTGGGTATTGCTGGCACTTAGCTAATAATAATATTTTCCTCCTTTTGGTTGAAGAAATTACTGGCAGTTCTTTCAATCTCCCTGCTCTGCTGGGGCAGGGAGAGCCTGGCTGCTGGATGCAAAGACTCCGAAGCCTGCTGCAGATGGAGAACCCACCGCTGCTTGAACCAGAAAAAAAAAAAAAGACTTCTTAAATTGTGAATCACATTTTCAGGAGTTACAGATGCCAATATAGCCTTCTTCCTGAAAAAATTACTTATTGTTGGAATCTGTGGGCATAATTTGTTACTGTCCTTCTTAAATTGTGAATCACATTTTCAGGAGTTACAGAAGCCAATATAGCCTTCTTCCTGAAAAAATTTCTTATTGTTGGAATCTGTTTGTGGGCATAATTTGTTACTGTCCTTTGAACCCTGCCAGATTCAGGAGTTTGGGGAGAGCTGTGGCTGTTCCCTTTCGACTCCTGCTCTCCGGTAATGGGGGAGCCCTTGGAGCTTGCTGCTCTTCCCAGTATCGCTCCTGCAAGCGCCCTGGGAGCGCGGGGCGCCGCTGCGAGAGGCGGCTTTAGGTCGCTGACAGCGGCGGCCGAGGCCCCCGCTTTGTTGTGCGGCTGAGTGACACCGAGCTGGTGACGCTCCCCAGGCATCTGCTCCTGTCCCTAACACGGCCGGGCCTTCTGTCACCCCCGCAGACAGCCTCTAACCCTGCCCGGGGTGGGGAGCGCCTGCACGGCGGCGGCAGCGCTTCGGGCCGGACCTTCCCGAGGCGAGCGGGGGCCGGGCCGGGCGCGGGGGGGCCGGGGCACCAAAATAGGAGCTGTCGCTGCGGCCCCGCGGCTCCCTCCGGCAGCGGCTCTTCCAAAGACGGTCAGGGGCCGCCGCGGGCTGGGAGCCCCCGTAAGCGCCGTGCCGGGCGGGTCCGCAGCCGGGGGCGGCCGGGCTGCGCGGAGCGGCGCGGAGCGGACAAAGCGGCGGGAGCTGCGGGGCGCGGCGATGGCCGCGGCCGGGCAGGAGGAGTACGCGTACCTCTACAAGGACTCCGCGCACCCCGCCGGCTTCCTGGCGGCGTTCCGGGCGTTTTACCTGGACGGGCTGTTCACCGACATCAGCCTGCAGTGCGCCTCGGGGGTCATCTTCCACTGCCACAGAGCTGCCCTGGCAGCCTGCAGCAGTTATTTTAAAGCCATGTTCACAGCCGATATGAAAGAAAAATCCAAAAACCAGATCAGCCTTCCCGGGCTCAGCCATGCAGTACTGGAAGCTCTCGTGAATTATGCATACACATCACAGATCCAGATAACAAAGAGAAATGTCCAAAGCCTACTCCAGGCTGCAGACCTGCTCCAGTTCGTGTCAGTAAAGAAAGCCTGTGAGCAGTTTCTGGTAAGGCACTTGGATACTGACAACTGCATTGGGATGCACTCCTTTGCTGAATATCATGATTGCTCAGAGCTGGAGAAGGAGTCCAGAAGGATATTGTTATGGCAGTTTGAAGAAGTGTGGAAGCAGGAAGAGTTTCTGGACATTGGCAAGGAGAAGCTCTCTTATATCCTCTCCAGAGAAAATCTCAATGTGCAGAAAGAAGAGGCAGCCATTGAAGCTGTCATTAAGTGGGTGGCACACAACGTGGAAGGAAGAATTGAAGACATCTGCGAAGTGCTGAGCTGCATCAAATTAGACTTAGATAATGTGTATTTGAGGTCAGCTTTAAGCCTGCAAAAAAAATGCCGACTCAATGACAGTAAGATAAGGTCACTCATATATAATGCCCTGAACCTCAATCCCAAAGGTCTTTCCAGAAGATCCACAGCAGCCATGTATGTAATTGGAGGATATTATTGGCATCCCTTATCAGAAGTGCATGTTTGGGATCCTTTAACTGATGCATGGGTCCAGGGAACAGAGATGCCAGATCACACCAGAGAGAGCTATGGGGTCACTAGTTTGGGGCCGGACATATATGTGACAGGGGGTTACAGAACAGAGAGCATTGAAGCTCTTGACACCGTGTGGATATATAACAGCGAGAGAGATGAGTGGACAGAAGGCTGCCCCATGCTCGACGCAAGGTATTACCACTGCGCCGTTTCCTTGAGTGGCTGCATTTATGCATTGGGAGGGTACCGGAAGGGAGCTCCAGTCCAAGAAGCTGAGTTTTATGATCCTTTAATACAGAGATGGCTTCCCATTGCAAACATGATCAAAGGTAGGTAAACTTTTGTATGGTGTCTGCCTCCAATGCCAACTCTTTTATATTTGCCATTTTTAATTGCCATGGAAACATTTAGGATTTGATCCAAATTCTAGAGAAGTTCATGGGAATTTTCAGTTAATGTTGGTGGGCTTTGGTTCAGGTCTTCAAATAACCACAACCATCCAAATGCTATGCTGGGCTGTGCCATAGAATAGCGGGTAGAAAAGTAAGTAGTAGTCTCAGTTTAATTTTGCCTTCTTTCATGACTAAAATTTTTGTTCAAACTAGAAAGAAATCAGAAAACTACCCAGGATAAGAGTCCATTCAGTACACAACCAAAGAGCAAGCTCCAGTAAAGGGACTGTATTATTTTTATATACGATTTTCCATGCAGTCATTTATAAAGGTGTCATAATTTAAAACTTCTTGCATGGAGTTCCCACCTATTTCTGTGTATCATCTGTTCAGGATCCTTTGTTTAATCTTTAGTGAGAGGATAATGAAAAGCACTAATACCTGTTTCTAGCAGCCAAAGTAGTGATCTACTAAAAATGTATGAATCACAGCCTAACCAAAGGGTATTGACTGAGATGAGCTCAGCTGGTCAGAGCCTGGTGCTAAATAATGCCAAGGTCACCAGTTTGATCCCTGTATGTGCCATTCACTTAAGAATTGGATTTGATGAACTTTCTGGGTCCCTTCCAACTCAGACTATTCTGTGCTTATTTTGTAACAGTAACAACAATACTACAGTTATACATGTTATCATACATTTTTATAAATGAATGCAAATATTTATAATTAGTTATAAAAATGTACTGTAAGTTAATGCAACATGATATTTTTCTATGTACAAGAGATTTTTTGGATGTATATGTAAAAGAAAAAAAGCAGGCTTTTACAACTTTCTCCACTGTATGTTTTCCTCAGACATTGCTACTATTTTCTTTTAGTTTCCTTCAAAAGTAGAAATGCTGTGCTAACGCTATGAGTTACATATTCTATGCAGTTGTTTTGCCCAGTTTTTATAAGTGTGAAACTAAGATGCTCAGACCCCCCCCTTTGCTTTATTTCATTTTGTTGTCCTAGAGATGCAGTTAAAATGGCTCCATTATGTTTGTGTCCTCATATATATGATAGTTTAATTAGTAATGTCATGAGAATGACCAAAAGTATCAGAAAAGATACCCCAAGACACTGAATAATTTCAACTCCCATTGTCTTTGCTCTTGCCATCTAAGTGATTTTTTAATAACTCTAACTTAGTGAAACAGTGAAACTAATTGCCTATTCCAAAATCAGTAAGACAATGTGACTTTACTTACTGCCTAAAAGTCCTGTGAACTATTGGGTAGCTGTATTATGTGCAATATATACTGGTTACTGCAGTTTTATTTAGTCATTCTTGACTTTTGTTAATATCTTGATAAATCTGTTGTATTCACATTCAGTTAAATACCTGCAAGCATATAATGTTAATAAATATTAACAAATCATTTGAAATGGAGTTATGTATGGAAGAGACCATGTTTATTGCGTGAAGTCTGAATGCATGTTTGACTTTCACACTGTGAACAGGAGTTGGAAATGCCACTGCCTGTGTCCTGCATGAAGTCATCTATGTCGCTGGAGGCCACTATGGGTACAGGGGAAGCTGCACCTACGATAAAATCCAGAGATACCATTCAGGTAGCAATGAGTGGAGTATAGTCACCACAAGTCCACATCCAGGTAAATAATTTCTCTAACAAACACAGAGCTTGATTTGATTACAAGTGTACCTGGGAGTCCTTAAGCCCAGTTAGGGGTTTTTGGCATATTCCTAGTTAAAAAAAGAAATGCCTGTAGGGCAGCAAGGGCTGTTTCCAAACTCTGAAAGTGGAAAGGAAGACCTTCTTCAAGTATCTGTTCTATAGAAATCACTGTATAAATACTGAATTAAGGAATGTCCTCATTCTATTAAATAATATAACTTTCTGTTAAAATTCATTGACATTTGACAAAAACTATATTGATTTTAAAAGGGTTTTCTCTATGTTCTACATCTGGTAACAGTAAGATTTTAAAGCAATTTTCACTGAGTACTGGTGCTGTAGTGTAGCAGAAAATCCTGAGGTGCCTCCTAAGCTCAATGAGGACATTCAGCTGCCCTCAGTGGTGCCCAATGTTTGCCATGTACTTGCAGTTTAAGTTGATGTTATCGTGCTGAGTTGTACTGTATTCCTTTCTTTCTGAAGAATATGGATTGTGTTCAATTACGTTACAAAACAAGATCTATTTTGTGGGTGGCCAGACCACGATCACTGACTGCTATGACCCAGAGCAAAATGAGTGGAAGCAGATGGCTCACATGATGGAGAGAAGGATGGAGTGTGGCACGGTGGTTATGAACGGATGCATCTACGTAACAGGAGGATATTCCTATTCAAAAGGAACATACCTGCAGAGCATTGAGAAATACGACCCTGAACTGAACAAATGGGAAGCAGTAGGTAATCTTCCCAGTGCCATGCGGTCACACGGCTGTGTCTGTGTGTACAATGTGTAAGCATTTCATTTCCATCTTGCTGTTACAGTATTCATAACAGTACTGATTACCTCATGAGGGGTTGTCTAATACAATCACTTAGTGCACATTGTTAATAACTAGATGTAATTTGTTCTTGTTTTAAACAACTCAGAAACATAAATGTGGTAACAAGATTTCCATATATTTTTCAGTCCAATCATACTTTGTCACGGAAGTTCTCAAATTGCTCTTTTATAATACTTTATACAGCAACATAGGATCTACTGTGAAAAATGGATTTGTTTTTGTTTCATCACTGGATGAAACTATGACTTGGTGCTAAGATGAGTAAAGCCAAACAAAATACGATTCTAAGGACTACTGGTCTTAAGATGAAATCTTTGTATTCTGAAGGTAGCTGTAGAAATGGACCACTGACACAAGTTAAGTGTATGGTATATGCAGAGCAATATCACTGGGATAACTAGGTTATCAGATTCAGAAATGGGCATTTACAGGATGCCTCTAACTCTACCTTCAAATGCCAGAGCAAAGAAGAGCTTAGGCTAGGAATGAGGGAAGAAATGTTGGTAGTAGCCCAGGCACAGGCCAAAAGCATGCACTAGTTTTCCTGAAGGAGAAGTAAAAGAGCATTTCTCTTTGCCATTTTCACACTCCCTTCGACATTGCCAATGAGAAATGAAAAAAGACTCTGCAAGGCTTTGCAATGGGATCTTTGGCTGATGCACAGGTATTTGTAGTTTGGGTGTTTTTGTGTGGGGAGGGCTGTTCAGAGAAAAGCCTTAATGTGTTAACTCTTTTTTAATATCAACTCAAGATGTGTGCCTGTGTGGAGTGGAAGGAGGAAATGAGAGAGACTGGAGAACTAACATCTGCTTGAGATTCAAACTTTTCTATTTTGTTTAATACCATTTGATCTTTTCTAAACTGTGGCTTGAGCAAAGGTAACAACTAAAGGAACTTGTCAAAATATGTTATGCATGAAAAACATGGCTTGAGCAAAGGTAACAACTAAAGGAACTTGTATGTTATGCATGAAAAATGTGATCTATAGGATTGATTTATTTATTATTTCTCTCAAAACTTAATAGGAGAGCTTCAAATTTTGTGTAGAAAGTGGATTTTTGTAACGTGATGTTGTATGTTATGCATGAAAAATGTGATCTATAGGATTGATTTATTTATTATTTCTCTCAAAACTTAATAGGAGAGCTTCAAATTTTGTGTAGAAAGTGGATTTTTGTAACAGACAAACAGACAAACAGATCACACTCTGTGGCCTGACAGTGGTGATCCAAATGAAGAAATGCTTTGGGGAACAGAGAAGGCTCTTTTAGCACTGATCCCCCAGTCCACTTTATAAAATGACTGCAGAAAGAGCTGTTAGACGTTGGTGTGAGAGGCAGGGACAACAAAGAGCTGCCATAGGGTGTGGTGGGAATTTCCCACACAAGCACTGCCATCTAAAAATAAATTTAGGTTTTATTGGATTTCTCACATACAAATAAAGGACTTTTCCAAGCAGTAACCTCTGAGTTTATAATATTTCTTTGCTTGATCATAAGCATTTTTGGCTTTTTAAAAATTCTTTCACATTTTTATGCTATCTCTGACTTGCATTTGGCTGCTGGTAGCAGGTGGCACTCAGCTCTGGCTTTGATGTGAAGTTCTGTGGTGTACATGTACAGTTCTTTTTTTGATATTTTCGTATGTTGCCTCACTATGTCAGAAGCTTGTGTGTGTGTGTGTTTTCAGTGTTTTGCTTTGTTACCCATCTCACTGAGATCTATTTAGGGATCCGATGTAACTTGTTTAAAGACTCTAAAGAGTGGAGAATTGAACTCCGAGGCTGTTTGAAATGTGTGGGCCAAGCAGGTGAGCAAGAAATAAAATTAATTTGTTTCTCCTGGAAATCTCCACAGCTGACAATTGCTCAAGGGCAGGTGGAGATTGAAAGGACACCACAAGAACATGAAGGTGATCTTTGTATTGAATGAAACCACATTGAACTCAACGTGTTTATGTAATTTTTCAGTGCAAATTATGTACCCATGAAGTTTCATGTTTGTTGAAAAACACGAGCATAGAACAGCTGCTTATGGCTGGCCTTGAGGTTCATTCTGGCCTGTATCGTGTCACCAACAGTCATGAGTCAGTGAAAGGATCTAAGAACAAGGTGAGGACTAACAAAACCAAACCCCTAAGCAGTCCTCTTGCCAACTGCTTGCAAACTAGGTGCTTGGTGTTGGTGAAAGACAGTGCAGTTCCAGAGCTGGAGCATAGGCACAGGAAGCTGGACTCTGTGCCCCTGGGCAAGCTGCAGGCAAGCAAATGCTGCTTTTGGCCTAAATGGTATGTGCAAAGTGGAAAAAAAAGCCTTTAGTTGGTCTGGTATAAATAAAAGTGAAAGAAATTACAGCTTAGTACTGCATGTGAATCCTAATTTCTCAGAGATTTTCAATGCATTAGAATAAATGGAGAGATGAGTAAGTTCAGCCTAATGGTTAAATTTCAACTGGTGCTATTTTTCACAATAACCTACAATGCCCTTTTAAGCTAACTCATGTAGCACATCCCAAGAAGATGTGTTGCAGTCAGGTCTTGGGCACAGGCAGGAAAATGAACTCAGGAGCAATAGGATTCTGACCTCCGGTCAGCAGCCTACCAGGAACTCTTAGCCACGTGTGTAATACGCTTTTAAAAACAGTTGAATGTAAACACTGAATAATCGTGCCATTGGATATGTACTACGGTAGACACTGTTTTACTGTTTCACCCATTAACTAGAAAGTGAAGTAATGTGGCAGTGAAATCAATTGTGAAGTCAATACTACTGCTTAAAATTTTCACGTCTGCGATCCCCGTGTTTGTAGCGCTGCAGATGCCCGCAGTACATCTGTAGTGTTTAAGTGAGCCTTTGCACTAATTAATAAATGTGAATATAGCACTGCAGTACAAATGCGAGCTGTTACATTTGTTCCCGGCGCACAAAGGCCGGCCGCCATCCCGGCGCGCGCGGCCCTCTCGGGCTGTGCCGGGCAGGCGGAGCCGGCGGCAGCGCTCCCGCCGCGGGGAGCCGGGCCCGGCCCGAGGGCAGCGCTGCCGCTCCTGCCGGGCTGAGGTGAGGCTGGGCCGCGGCGCCCGAGGCTGTCCGAGGAGGGCATGTTGGCGCTGCAGCCATGTGAAAGTGTCAGCAGCAAACTCATGGTCTCCTGGCACAGTTCAGGGGCCGACGTTTCCATTACTTCAGGAATTCTAAGAATTTTTTTCTACATTGCACCGATTCTACTAAAACCAAATCTGTTAAAGTTAACATCTCTGAAAATGTGTGGCTGTAATTAACCCTTACCCTTAGGTAAAAACCACGCTCAGACCTCTTATGCAGGGGTTCTGAAGGAGGCATAATATGATCCCTGTTACCTTATTGGGGAAGCTTTATTATTAAAAAAAAGCTTTTCGCTCTATTACAGTAATGGTAGAATACTCAGCCCTCAACTAAACTTCGTCTTGAGCTTCAAGCTAAATAGCTAGTAAGAGGAAAATCTACTAGGGAGTTCTTTTGGGATGATGTAGCTAATACAGTGTGGGATCTAATTGTTCTAGTTATGGGGGTTGACTATAATTGTTTATAATTTAAACCTAATGACTACTTGCTTTATTTTAACCTGGTTTCTTTAATGTTTCATGTGGTGCTGATGGAGACTTTTGGCACATGAAAGGAACAAGTCAGTATAGTTTATTAAGAAGCCTTTAAAATAAAATCTTTTGTAGGATTTTGCATGCAGTTCAGACTGTGATTGCTGTTCATTGCAGCTGTTCATTGCAGCTGTTCATTCATTTATCAGTCTTCACTGCTGCACAGCAACTGAAAACTATTGATCTGGAAGTTGTCTTGTGCCAGATGACTGAGCTGCAGAGTCTGAAGTGAGCATGTGCAAAGACTAGAAATCTCTCTTAAATTAGAAGGTTGCTTCTGCTTTTCTTCTAAATAGGTTAGAGCTCAGTCACTGAACTGAATTCCATGCATGGCAAGTTTGAGTCTTTCTTAGTCTTCCCTACTAAGACTACTAAGTTTGTTACTCGCAGCTAAAAGGATGCTTTTTAGAAAAACTCCTCCATGTGTAAGACTTATTTTAAAGGACTTGTTCTAAGTCTTGTGTTGGATCATGCTTTTTGGTATTAACCTTGAAAACACTGCTAAGGAAGTAGACTTTTATTTTTTTCTCTTCTTAACAGTGAAGGTGAGCCTTATGTGGAAATTGACTTTTTGGGTTTGAGTATTTTGGTGCCTGGGCTGAGGCAGACTGGGACAGCAGTCAGAGACTGCTCTGTAGGTTGCCATTAAATTAGATTTGGTATAATGTAGAAGAGAACACTGATTTCTCTCACAAGCAGGGTGTGGAGACAGTACCAGCACCTGAATGGTGGCAAAGCTTTAGTCTCCTGTAGTCAGGGTGGCTCATGTGGGACCTCTCTGAAGTAACTGCAGCTCTTGGCTTGGGTGCTCTGGCCTGGGTCTTGTCAAGTGCTTTACAGATAAAGGGATCACACTCAGCATAGCTGGCAACTAACACTTGCTGAAATCATGCTTCAAAGAGTGCTGCAGTGTTAGGTACAGGTGCAAGCACAGCACCTTTCAAGGCTGTGGGTGCTGAAGAATTACAAGAAGTTCCAAGGACTGAATGTGGCTTTGAGATCAGGAAGAGGAGGAAATGGGAATACTGCAGACTGCAGTAGGCTGAACAGTTATTGGGGAATTCAACTACTAAAATAAGAAGATGAGGCTGCCAACGGGGCATTCTGATGAAGAACATAATTTCCTGTATTAGGGGCACCTCAGGGGAGTTTTCCCTGCCTCTGTGTTGCCAGTCATCTAGATGCTCTGAAAGATGTTACTGCCCTGCAAGCAGCAGAAGGGCAGAAGGTGCATGGTCAAATCTCCTGATAAACCTCATGCAAGACATGAGTGCAAAACCATCTTTGCCAGCAGCCTTTGTTCACAGATCTATGAACTGGGGTAATACTACCAAGAAACCTCTTTATCATCTGCAGCCGGATTTAAAAAGTGTGTTAGTGCTCAAAGGGAGAAAGAAGAAATCTCTGCTTCATAGTTCAAAATTGAACTCAAACTAATTTCTGACAGCTTCATAAAGTTACATTTTTTTCTCAAGGATTAATCTTCACACTATCCTTATCTTAAAAGCAACTAGATAGAAAATGTTTGATCCTAGTTAAGTTTCTGGCCAGTAGCTGCTTTCGTAGTGACTGCATCTGATGTACTGGGATTATACACTTGCTGCCAGTTAAGTAAAATTACTTCAGAGTTAAAATGTCTTACGTTATAAAGATACTTGATTCACTACTCAAGCAGAACTGCAATGAAGACACATTTGTAAAGGAGAGAACAAGACATCTTTAGGATGTGTCACTAAATGCAGATATTTTCATTCTGTCCTCCAGTAAGTTCTGTGAACTTTCCAAAGATGAAACATTTCAGAAACACTTTCTCATTATACCTATGTAGGAATTGAACATTTTTGTTATTATTGTGCCTAGTGATGAGAGGTTGGATTTGACTTAAACACATGTTGTTGGCTCCCAGTTTTGTTATTGTTGTTCTAAACTGAGGATCAGTGGCTAGAAAAAGATAAATAACAAATAAGGCTGAGAAGTGCCAGCATTTCCTGATTTTTTTCTTGACTGCTGAATGCCAAAAGCTGCCCTAACAACCAAAGTGAGGGGATTTTTTTTTCCCCCAGTTGTTTCATAGTTTCCCCTTGAGTTCTGCAGTCATGTTAATAGTTGCTTCACAGACATAAATGTATGGCTAATGAACTTGGCTGTTACCTTATCTAGATGAGGCTGCAGTGAAATGCAATGCTACATGAATGTCAGTCTGTAGAAAATACTATTCAAAACTTTGTGCTTTTGCTCTGTATTCTCTTCAAAACAGCTGGTGAAAATGGCTGAAAATGGAAATGGTGAAAACATGTCTATCTTGGAAAGCAAAATCTGTCAGCAAATTGAGGTGAGTTCAGTTTATAGTTTGGGGTCTGGACTGAGGTGTTTTGGAGGCATTCATTGGCAGGGCTTGGCTAAGTGGAAGTTAACTTTATTGGGAGTTAGACTTGA